AAACACACATACTGAATAACAACAACTCGGAAGAAATCTCTATGTATCTATGTATCAATGTATCAATTGAGCTTTTCAAATTCCGGTTGTTTTTCATATAAGAACTGTTGTGGTCAATATTGTAAAGGTCGAAACTTTGGAAAGATATTCAAGATTCGTTTAATGAAACGATGTATGTATATAGATACCATTGTTAAAATGATTATCTAATTAAACTAAATTTAATGTTTATTTATTTTAAGTTTCCTGATTATTGATGTATTTATTAATGAATGGTTAGTAACTAATGAATAGAATAAAAAAATTTACTTGGTATTGTTTTATTTGGAACTTCCTAATGATGTTTAGGTTTGTAATTGATCAGTCACTTATTAGTATAAGTGCCTCAATATTGCCTGAAATTACAAGCATTATAAACAATGATGGATATTGAATAGCAGTGGAATTCTGGACACGTGTTTCGTCCTGTTTAGGACACGTCAAATGGATGTGACTGCATCTTAGAGTTGATGTTCACTCTGGGACTGAAAATCAGTACCGTTCACTTCAAATGCCATCACGTTATTCACTTAGCTATTGAGTTCTGATAGCCATTTGCTTGTGCAATGGGGTGAAGTTTAAATTCACTTGATATTGTCCACTTGAATCGTCCCATTGATGTTTAGGTTTGCAATTGATCAGTCTCTTATTACCATAGGTGCACACTGTGTGGATTGCCTCGATATTGCCTTAATTCACAAACATTATAAACAATAATGGATATTGACTAGCAGGGGAATCCCAGACGCGCGTTTCATCCTATTTGGGTACTGAGTTCAAGTCCCAGAGTCAACATCAACACTGAGATGCAGGTACATCCAGCAAATGAGTCCTAAATACGACGAAACACGCATCCTGGGTTTCACTAACAGCCACCATCCAACTTTGCTTACATTAAATAGTTATGTTACGTGAATTAAATTTCCTAATTTTTTCTTACCAAATATCAGTGAAATATAAGTTGATGCAAACACGAAACTGATAATATCCATCATTGCATTGTTATTCCAGTTATAATTGAATGATTAAAACAATGAATTAACTTACATTTATAAAAAAAACTAAATATGGCTGACAATCTTTACAGTAGATTTAATTTTAACTATGTCATTATCAGTCCAAAGGAATTAAATATTGTGACGTATCATAGTTAGATAGATAGAATATCTTAACATTGAATCTTTACGTTAGTATAAATTTCTATCATGATTGTGTTGTACTTCTTTTTCTTGATAATTATCAACATGCACTGAAATCTAAACTGTATAACGCTGAGTGAGCTTATTAGTTCCAGACTACTTAGTTAGGGTTCATGCAATACTTGTGATGTTAGACATGACACTTCTTTAAACACGTAAAAGATTAGATGAGATCAGTTTTTATCGGACTTCAGATTCTGAATATTTTAAACTTATCACAGATTTTTAATTTCGTCAAACCTGCCATCATGAATCATAATTGTTACTACTACTACTACTACTACTACTACCACTACTACTACTACTACTACTACTACTACTACTACTACTACTACTACTACTACCACTACTACTACTAATACTAATACTAATACGAATACGAATACTAATACTATCGCTACCGCCATTCCGACGTTTGTCTTGATAATTTAATGTCGCTAATATTAATCTGCAAAGCTAACTTAAGCTGGTGCACATAAATGCCAGATTATTTATTAGTGAACTGACTAAAATTGACTATTCATTCATATCAACTGTAGTGTGTGCTACTTATATTGACATAAGTAGTATATGATGTTAGTCGTGAACAGAAAGTCTGGCAGCAAAGTGACAAGAGGATCGAACAGTAAAGAATGGAAACAGAATACAATTTGTATGAAAATGCAAGAGCATTGTAGTCTGAGTCATTTTGGGACAATCGATGAACATTTTGCAAATTAAGCATTTACTTAGATTCTATTAACAAGTTCTGTAATTTTGTGTTACATACATTCGATTGTCCCCACCCGTACTCCGTTCACTACACAACTACTTTTCGTTTTGTTTAAACTTGTTCAATGTAATTCAATTAGTATTTTCGTAATTTCGATTTTCTTGTTTTCTTTGTTCATTATTTTAACTTTCATGAAACTGGGTTTTTGGGCCTCTTTTTCAAATTAGCAGATCCTATCCTTATTCTAATTAACTTTTTTTAAATAAATAAAGAACGGAATTAAGTTGTATTAACGTCAAACTACCTGATACATAATTCAATATATGGTATCTTCTAGGAACTTCCTTGTCAAAGATGGACGAATAGTTTTGTAATAGTTGGGAAACGACTTACTGGAAGATACCAAAATGGAAACCACAATGTAAAATTCCCATTAAATGATATTTAAATAACTCCGAAATTTCACACGACAGCCTCGTTTAGGTTTCATCAGGGATATAATCAAGAATTTAAAATCATCAATTGTAAATGTTTTAATAACTACTTTATGCTAAACCATTACCCAATGGTATTTAGATGATGAATTTGGTAGTGGTCAACGTGTGAATGTGAATATAACTTATGTAGTGTAGAATGTGGTGAAACTTAAAGAGAGTTAAGAAATGTTTATGAATGTGTATACAAATCACATTTGAATAACCGTAGGCTAAGTATATGGCTATAAATTATAGTCCTGAATAAAATTACTTAACCTGACAGTCAGTCATAATCCCAAATTGTCATGGGATGCACGAAATAACAGTCAATAAATAAATGAATTTTTGTATTGATAATGAAAAATAGACTGGTTTTTCATGAAATATACAAACATTATAACTGATTGAAGGAAATGAAAGTATGTTGCTGATATATATAAGACATGAGATGAGTAAAAAGTCGAAAACTAAAGTTATATTTACTGTATTGTCAATAGTTGTCATAATGCAGCTAATCAATCATTCGATCACTTACGTCTGCCTAGATATACAGAGCCTTAGCTGTCGGTCTAGTTCCACTGAAATCTACTAAGTACCCAGTTTTTACCATGGGTTTCCAGGTTGTTGTTTTTTTAATGGTCATGTTCTATAAAATTATATTTGGTAATTTCAGATGTTTGATTATTTCCCTGAAGAAAATCAACCAAGACTCGAGCGAAATGTTACGGTTGTTTAGATTTCGTTGATAGAGAATTTTACATATTTATTCATCTTTTTAAAGCCCTTAATAGACAGTCAAATAGAGAAAGTATGGATTCATCACACTGTAAAAAATAAGTCAAAATAGTGTATCTTAACCGTTCTATCTCCAACAACTATCAATTAAACCTAATATATATGATAAAAAAGTAGAAAGAAAATTTATTTTGAATTACTGTGCTGTTAATATGTGGGATGGAATTTCGACCAATCTTTGTTGTGCTATGTGCGTCTTGTAAGGATTGCCTTGACATACCCATTGTTTCGCAAGCTTTTATGAAGAAAAAAACATATATTAGTTGCACATGTATAAGGTTATCTGAACTGAGTAGCTTTGTGGATAACGCATTGAGTATCTGAGTTCTAGTGTTATTATGAAGACTGATATGTGGCAAATGTATCCCCTTGATAAGTTTCAAATAGTATGAAACTTGAATTCGGAACTCTGTTGTTAGCCATTTATTTTATTTAAAAAAAAATCAGTTTGCCACGAGACTTATTTATTTACTTAATATTACTTCTGTACTAACCAGCTCCAATGAATGGGGAGATTCTATAAATTAACGCAGATAAATTAGACTTCATCCCATTAATTATATGAACTCAGTAGTTATAAAGCTTAGGTTGAAAGGTACTGGATTCGAAATCTAAATTGAAAAACAATATTGAGATGTAGATACGTTCAACTGACGAGTCTCAAAAAGAGTGAAATTCATTTTTCTCAAATTCCACTACTAGCCACTATCCATCTCCGCTTAAAATGTTCATAATCTACTAATAATATGGAGACAATCTGTATGAGGTACACTTATATTCACAACCGATTGATCACTGGGTGGTGATCAATATCATGCTTGTCTAGTCCTTATTAGTACAGATCGAATGCTATCGATCATGTTGCAATGTGGCCACCAGTCTAGGTGACTCAGCACTGCGGGTACTATATATTGAGATTAGATGGTGGTTGGAGGTAGTCGACAGGAAACCCTGGACCCGGGCTTCGTGCTGCTTGGCACTCGTCAGCAAGGTGTACCTGTAATCTTGAGGGAACTGGTGCTCCCTGGCGGATTCGATCTCGCGTCATCCAGCTTCACAGTCAAAGACGTTACAACTGGTCTATCCGGGCCGCGACCGACCTGCTGTAGGACTGTGACGTAATCACAATTGATTGATCACTGGGTGGTGATCAATGTCATGCGTATCTAGTACACTTATATTCCCTCCCCAAGAAAAGGATGAATGATCAACTACACTCCGAAACAGCCCGATAGAAACGTTTCAAAAAATCAATGTAAATGAATTCATACTTTTATTTACTGAAAATTTCATTTCTTACAGTATAAATGAAACAAGAAACAAACACAAAGGATTCAATGAGAAGATAACAATTAACTTTGTATATTCGTTTGTTTGCTTCTTTTGTCACAAAAATAAAAGAAGACAGACAACCATATATTATTATATTACTTCCGGTGTTAAAATCAAAATAGTCTTAATAATAATAACAACAACATTATTCAATCATGTAAAGAAAACAACATTCACATCTCATTGTCAACACTATATTCCCTTATTCACAGTCACACACACATTTGTCTATATAGGTTTATACCAAGACACACACACACACAGAGAAAGAGAGAGGACAAGGAAGAATGGAATATTTTCATTGCCAAAAGTATATTTTCAAAGAACAACTGATGAAAGATATCAATCCATATGCTTGATACTGTTTTTTTCACTTTATTTTACTCATTAGTTATTCTCATATAAGTTGACATGGATTTGAAGAATGTTGTTAAACTATTACTTCACTATTATTATTATTATTATTACTATTATTACTATTGTCGTTATATATCTTCACCTTTAGGCAGTATATCGCTAATGTTGAAAAATTACATTACACACAAATACAAACAGTCTCTTCTTATATGAAACATTAGAACTTGACAAAAAGCCGACAACTACAACATGTAGGTGTATACAGGTATGTAAGTAAGCAAATAACTAAATGAGTACATAGATGATTAGATAAACAAATAAACTATGATTAACATCAATATCAGAAGATAACAAAATATATAGATAAAAGAAATTAAGTATAAAAATGCAATAATACATTGTATATAATATTGAAAAACTGTTTCCTCTCCGTATACAAGCACTTCACACAAGTGTATTCTTATTCTAAGTACTAAAATGCTTGATAACTTGTAGGGAAACAATGAGATAGCGAGTGAGAGAGAGAGAGAGAGTGGAAACCATCTCGACTCAACATACTTGATTAAACGACTAAAATCCAGAAACAAAAAATAATGTAAACAGTAAAATTTTAACATACTTTACATGTCAAGATTATGTTGAGAATAACAGAGACACACAATGTGAAAAATATTGATGTGATGTAATATGGATAATGACCTACAATAATCATTTGAGGATAAGTGGTATAATAGAAGAATAGCAAGTTATTTTCTGTTATCCTTATTGATTTTTATCGTTGTCATTATTGGTGGTGGTGGTGGTGTTTGTTCTTCTACTGTTTGAATCGTTGAAGTTGACAATTTGTTCACAATATTAGGAACTGAATATGAAATACTTGTTGTTTCACAACAACTATTCGATTGATCAGATTTTCTATTCGATAATTTATCGATAATTGTTTCATGTTCCATATTAGAGAAATTCCATTCAACATCGGATTGGTGTTTGCATGATTTGGACAGTAATGAAAGTGAATCATCAATATTCGTTGCATGGATAGATCCACTGGGATTTTGCTTAGTTGTCTGATCAAATTGTTGATCAGTAGCTTTCATTTCGTCATGGTCTTCTTCTTCTTCTACATTTTTCTCAGCTTCCATTTCTACCTCATCGTCACCTTCCACACCGGGTAAAGAGACACGATGTGCTAGAACAGCTTTCAAACTTAATCCATCAGCACCTTCTAAGTCTACCAAACGACGTTTTTGTTTGAATTCTTTACGTCTTGATATTTCTTCAGGTGTTAATTCTTCTTCGGTTACATCAGGAGCGATAGGTAGTTTCTAGTGTCAATGAGAGAGAAGTTCGAAAAAAAGGAAATTGTTTACAGTAAAATGAAGAACTTCACTGGGGTTAAATAAAATTGTTAATTGAAACTGTAAAACGCAAAAAATGACCGTTCGTTTCATTAATTTTGAAATCTTGTTTTTTCTAAAGCGGATACAATGTGTCAGTAACGATATCTAAATATTCGTAAGCTTCAGTACTTGCTTAGTCATGAGATTTAATTTATTTCTTGAATAGTTGTTTTAATAAAAAGGTTTAATTACTAGTATAAGGGTTGTGGAGATTATTGCGTTTTTGATTGAGATCATGAAACGATCGATGTTAGACCACCACAATTGAAAACCTGGAAGCACTGGACAGCCGTTTCGTCCTATTGTGGGACTCCTCAGCAGTAGAGACAGGTATCTACCTCAGTACAACGGAAGTTGGTCGCGCAATTTCGTGGATTGGTTGATGCTAGAAACTATCACCATTGGATGACGGCTCAGTGGTCCAGTTGGTTAAGCGTTCGCGCGCGAGACCGAAGGCCCTGGGTTCCAATCCCGCTCGCGTGATCGTGGATGTGCACTGCTGAGGAGTCCCACAATAGGACGAAACGGCCGTCCAGTGCTTCCAGGTTTTCAATTGTGGTGGTCTAACATCAATCGGTTCATGATCTCAATCAAAAAGGTTTAAATTCGTGGGAGAAAAAACAAATGAGAATGCCGTAAAAAAATCAATAATTAATTTGTAAGTGGTATCCATCACGGACTGAACTCAGAGGAGGTGCCATAATAAACCACGAGACACTCGATTGCTATCTCGTCCTAGTATCAAACTACTCACCTTCAAACATTCATGAATTGAATGTAGCATTCTCAAATCTCAGGGTTGTTCTTAAGATCACAGGGTTTTCATTTAATTGTCTAAATCCTCGACTTTAGTTGATTTATAAAATGATGTATTGATCATCCAATGAAATCTGTTTCACTCCTACCATGACATATCTTCACAAACACCCTTAGTTACCTAAGCTTGTTACCATCCGTGGAATATAGACCAACAACGAGGGATCTACAATCAACTTTTTTCCTGGCCTCCTCTTTTGGATTGTTGCTAAGGGCTCCATAAAACCTATTTAATAATTATATAATCTCCCTTACTAGTGACCCAGTTTGAAATGAGTTATTGAGAGTTTCATGAGTTGTCATTTATGACCTACAAGAATATCTGAAGTGAAATAATTATCATGAATGAAATTAGATGATTGACGCTTTATAGCTTATAGTAACTGATGATGAATATTTCATCTCCTACTTGGATGAAATCAAACTGTTATAACGTTTTATCATTTGTAACCATATGAACAACTTCAATTAATCACCATAAACACCCCTCTATATACCATAAAAACTTTGCAACGAAATGTTTTATGTTATATGTATCTTCCTAACTATAATCCGTGTCTTGAAATATTGAGCTCTTTACGTGTACAACAATTTGCGTGTATATTTAGTTGGGTAAATTACTCATTATCAAATTATATTGTTCCAATTAAAATTCTTGATTATCATCGGTTTTATATGAACTTTATATCATATTTTAGGTTAGTGATATACGTACTCATTCTATTTTATCCCTAGGGATTATGTATTCTCTACATTTTATTAATTCCGTTTAGTTGCTAACACCTATGTTGTAAAAAATGTCTAGAGATTAAAAATTAAAAATTAAAAAAAATATTCTGAATTAAATTCATATGATGTTGTTTTACTTGTGTCTTCCCATTGTTATTTAGGACTGTAATTGATCAGTCTCATATTGGCATATGTGCATCCTGTACGAATTGTATCGATATTGTCTGAAGTCACAAGCATTTTTTAAAGCAAAGATGGATAATGGTTAGCAGTGGAATCCATGACGCGTGTTTCATCCTATTTAGGACTCAACAGCTGAATATATCTACCCCTTAGGGTTGATGTTCATTCTGGAATTCGAACCCAGTACCGTTCGCTTTAAACACCATCGCGTTATTCACTTAGCTACTATGTCCTGATAGTCACCTGCTTGTGTGATGAGGTGAAATTATATTCAATCGGTATTGTTTACTTGTCTCTTCCCATTGTTATTTCGGACTGTAATTGATCAGTCTCATGTTGGCATATGTGCGTCCTGTGCGAATTACCTCGGTATAGTCTTAAGTCATAAGCATTTTTTAAAGCAAAGATGGATAGTGACTAACAGTGGAATAGAACGAAACGCACGTTAAACTGGATTCCACTACTAGCCACTATTCATCTTTGCTTAAAAAACATTCTAGATTTCAGCAAAATGTTAGTTGACTTATTGTATTGAAAATATTTCAGCTAAGCTGATATTATAATATCAAATTGAACTCAATAATTGATTAGACTGAAAAGCACAAACAACATTGATCTGATTGATGAACATGTTATACTAATTAGAATGATCAATCGTTAACTGATCTCAATAGTTTTGTGTATAATTTCTTTCTATGATTTGAAGTGAAAGGTATTAGATTTCAGTCTTTATGTTGATATTAGTTATTTGTTAGGCTCTAGATAGGATGACATTCAAATTCTGGATTTTAATGCTAACCATAATTCAAATATATTAAACATGAGCTTATAGTTGTTACATTTTCAAATTTACAGTACATTTTTATATCTATCATTGATGAATTGAAATTGATTTAACAATTGGAAGTGAATTAAACCAAACCTTATCCATTGAAACTAAGCAGTTAGCATTGCTCGACTCCTCATCAATTGGGCATTCCTGTTCTCGAGCTCAGGATCCATAGTTCCGTGATAAGGCTTTGGCACGTGGTTTGTTACCCTATTACAGAGTCTGAATATGTACTGCCAAGAAGTCTAACTTTAAGATGATATATCTGTTAGATGTTTCAAAATTTTCAATAGCTATCAAATTAAGATCGATCCATGGTCTTTATAAAGTTTGAGAATTTTACACAAACTCCATATTGTACGATCTCAGTTTACCAAACTAAATGTTTAAATAATTCCTAATACAACACATAGCTAGATAATTAAACGATATAAAACTCTGTTTTTAAATGTATTCCCTTATGTTTACTCGAGAAAATAAACTACTGGATTGATGGTCTGTGAAACTTAGTGAGAATTCCCATTTCGACCATTGGTAAATAAAGAAGGAACGAATCGAGCGAAGAAATATGAAAAAGAGAAGGAACAGAATATTTTGATGAATGGTTGTCATCGTATAACAGAGCACCATCCATCGTAGTTGAGCAAAGGACAGGTAAAAATGATTAAGAGTTCTATTCTCGCTCACTTGGTTGGCACATGTCATCAAGTTGAACTGAATCAAGCTTTTAAAGTTATCTACCATATTTCATCGAATATGCCACATGGTTTACGAGTTCGTCGTTTGCACATTGCTGAAGCGATTGCAATCCATGTTATTAAACCTAACCTTTGCATCTAAAAGAAGTTTGTACAACCACTTTCGTGACCTTTGCCATCAGTATATGGGCGTCTGTAGCACAACACTGATAAACTATTTTCTTATTTCTCCCATTTTTTGTTTTTTGAACTTTGTGTTTTACTTATTCTCAATAATGATCTCTTAATTCTTACATAACTACTATTCTAATGACCATTCATCAAAATATTCTGTTCCTTATCTTTTTCATATAATATGTAACGTAGCAACTGCTTGATTTTCGAATAATTACTTTGTTTATTATTATTAATAATCCTCTTTCTTCCAATTACTCAATATTAATTTTGAATCGAAATGCCATTATGTAATTAATACGTAACATATCCACTCGACGAGTATTATTTCTGATTGAGATCATGAGCCGATTGATGTTAGACCATTTAAAACCTGGAAGCACTGGAGAGCCGTCTCGTCCTATTGTGGGACTCGTCAGCAGTGCCCATCCATGATCCCGCTCGCGAGGTTCGAACCCAGGGCTCTCAGTCTCGCGCGCAAACGCTTAACCTACTAGACTACTGAACCAACATCCAATGGTGTTAGTGTCTAACCTCAACCAAAGGCATTTCTTCACACGATTCGTTCCTTCTTTGTTTCTGAAACTGACAAGCATAAAACAATATATAACAATAAGGAAAAAAAGGGAAAACTTATGGAAATAATTAGTTGTCTCAATAATAACCAACATATTTTCCTAAATAAATCGAATTCCTCTATAAAAAATAAAAATAAAATAGAACCATAATTTCGTGGGAAAATATAGTCTGCTGATCATAATCTAACATAGTTTGTTACAATGTTGTGATATTTACCAATTACAATGTAAAACAAAAACAAAACAACATGTTGAACGAATTAAAAGTCATAATTTCTTTGGATAATAGATAGATAGATAAATATCTTGGTTAGTTAGAAAGAGAAAAAATTGCCCTGGGCAATATTATCCATTGAAAGAATTTGTATTTTAGTTTGGTTTCCTAGTTGTAAGAAACTGAAATGTTAATTATACACGAAACAGCTGATATAATCATCATACCATCATTACTATTACTGTTATTATTATTAGCATATATACAGCAAGTTCAAAACTTATCCGCTCATAGTTTTGCTAAGAAAATCATCCGTGACAAACATACAACAATATATTTTAGCCAAGAGATAATAAGTCTAAACAACCAAATAAACTTTACTATACGAAAGAATTGAATATGATATAATTCTCTTATTTTTCTCTATTAATAGTTCCTGAATAGAAGACAGATTTGATGATTAAGCAAAGATAGATAGTGGTTAGCAGTGGAATTCAGTTTGACGCGCGTTTCGTTTAATTTGGGACTCGTCAGCTGAATGTACCTGCATCTCAGAGTTGATGTTCACTCCGATACTCGAACCCATTACCGTTCGATTCAAACGCCATCACGTTATCCACTTAGCTATTGAGTCATGATAGCTACTTGCTTGTGTAATGGCGTGAAGTTTAAATTCACTTGATGTTGTTTTACTTGAATCTTCC